ACGGATGGTAGAAGCCTCGGTCCGGAAATAGGAACGAGCCCATGTCACCGCTCGATTTAGGAACGAAGGAGTCGTCGTTCCACCTACTTTCACTAGGTGATCTCGAAAAGACTCCTCGTCCAACACGTTTTCCTTGGTCTTGTCTCGCAGCGGGGGAACATCAGCCCTCGTTCCGCTTCCTTCCGCCGGGTCAGTTTCTCCCTTCCCACTTTTGCCGTATTCGTCCCTTTTTAGTTTGAGCATGTCGTACACCCTCTTACGAATTTCGGAACGCCACCTAAAAGGTAACGGCACTCCTTCTTCGTCTCCGTCCATCACAATAGGGGACTCGTCAAATCCGACGCAGACGTTCCGTATAAACTCACTCTCAGCGGAGTCGTCCTCCGAAGCACTGTCACCGTTTTCTTCTTGGGTGATAGCGCCGACGGGCGACGCCGTCTCCGTCGTTCCCGTTTCGTCCTTAAAGTTTCGATTAGCACGCCTGGCCACTGCAGAATTCTATAGTGTCCTTTCGTACCAATCTAGCCAGTACTCTGGTTCCCTCATCTCTCCCTTAGAGACTTCCCTTGTGCGCTCTAGCACTTCTTCCGGTATTCCCAGTTGCTCACTCAGCTCTGCAAGTGACGGTTTCTTCCAGCTCCTTGTCGTACTCCTCGGGTTCACTCTTCACTATCGGATCGTCACCGCGCTCGAGCATGTCCAGCTCCTCGTCGGTAAACAGACGATCATAGTCGTTTGATGAGTCCGTCGCCTTGGTATGTTCCGTATTCAGTTCAGCGCTGGGAACTTTAACGCCCTCCTCAGGAGCATCCACTACTCCGATCACGGCCGCAAACAGGTTAGCTCTGACGCCTACCACGTCTTCCGTCTTTGTCTCGAGTGCCAGCTCAGCCCGTGTATACTTGTCGGACAACCCGTCCGCTTCCGCTTTCCCGTTGCACTCTTCCTGGGTCTTCAACGCATCCTCGGGACGTTCCGTTGTCCCTTGATCGGCGTTCTGTGTCCTATGGGAACGATCCTTCGTCCCATCTTCACTCTTCAATGTCACCAAAGAGCTTTCCGCTGCTCCTTTCTGGGTCTTTAACGCATCTTCAGGACGTTCCGTTGTCCCTTGATCGACGTCCTGTGCCCAATCGGAACGATCCGTCGTTCCCCTTTCACACTTCCTTGCCATTAAGGAGCTTTCCGTTGCTCCCTCCTCTCGTTCCTTCTCGTCTTCCGGTCCCCTCGTAGAGACTTCCTCTTCTCCTTCGTACTTCGAACCAGTCCGTTCCTTCAGACTGCTCGTTCCAATCACAACATCTGCATTTTCAATCGTCACGCTCGCAACAGGAACGTTCCGAGCGTTTACTCCAGTATTCACACCAACCTCGGGAGCCTTCTCAGGTCCACTAAATCCACTTAGCTGTGAACCTTCATCTCCTTTTGTGTCGCCAACCTGGCAAGAGGAAAGAGCGACACTTCTTTCCCCTCCCTCTTGCCCCCTTCATTGTCGGGACATTCCGGTCGGTGTAGCCGAACCTTGAGCAGTCGTCGTTCCACTTGCTGCGGCATTCCTCGAGAGACTACGTAGTTTCTCGATCTCGGGACAGTTGGTCACGCCATGACCCGTCTGTCGACAGAAGAAACACTCCGCAGTCCGACGATCTCCAAATCGATTTCCACTCGTTCTCCTAGGCAAGCTACACTCCATGGAGTAGTGACCAAATTGATTACAGCGATTACACAGGCCTCTCGCACGAGGACACGTCTCTCGACCACACCCTTTTCGCTCGCAGCGTCCGCACACCACTTCTCCTTCTGCGGTACGAGTATCGGGGCCCATACGAATGTTGGGAGGCCTCAGTTCAGCACTCACTCCGCCATTGGAAGGACTAGTCGGTTTCGGATCGTTCGAAGCCACTGCGCCTATGTACCCATCGCTCGTTCCAGAATGTTTTTGCACGTTCCGATTTAGCAGTTGCAGCTCTTGAAGCACCTGTAACTCCGTCGAGGGTACATTCTTCGAGCGCAGGGGTTTCATTCCTTCCTCTGGAAACTCATCGTCTTCTTCGATAGGCAGGTGGAGATTCTTGAGCAACAGAATACGACAGGCTTGCTCAATAGACCCAATCATATTACCGTTCAGCACTGCTCGCATCTGTTTGTTCCTTATTCCTTCCAGGAAGAACTCGTACCTCATGCGGGGTTCGGGTAAGTTCAGCGCGTCGCATATTGTCTCGAGTCGATCACCCCATTCTTCGGCCGACTCGCCTCGTTTCCTTGCAGCAGTCTTAAGGCGGGTCCAGGTTTGGGCCGGAGTCAGACAAACGAACCGGTTGTGAAATCTGGAACGAAGGGACTCAAAGTTATGGATCCTCGAGTTGTACCACCATTCTTGTCCCTTCTTGCCTTTCAGACACTGTTCGAAAGCCGTCAAGCGCAGCTGATCGTCCATGCCCATCGTACACTTCTCGAACGAACGCCAAAACGCCGCAGCTCGTTCGCTTGAGGCCGTGTCCGAATAAAACGGAACGATAACTTTGACTGCGTTCCTCAATTCGTTCGGGATTCCCACGATCGGAGCGAGCCCTCGGCCATAGTCATTCGGCTCACGTTCCGCATATTGAGTCATGGGAGCAGTTGGGTGAGACGTCGCGTATCTCGGGTATCGATCTCGGTCAGACCCCACGTTTCCACTGAGTCTCGGGTCTCCTTCGTGACTTTGGAACGATCTTTCGTCGGTCGGCTTCGTTTCCCAATTCAGCGTCCTCTCCGGTCTCGTTCCGGCCTGCATTGAAGGCGTAGTCATAGGCGCGGACGCGTAAGTAGGAGGCATCTCAATCGGGTTCCAGCCCGGCGGTAACATCGGACCAAACGGATTCGAGGACGAATATTGTCTCGGCGAGCCATACGCTCCACTTCCTTCGTACACTCGCTGTGCTCGGTCGGAAGCCTTCTCATACAAAGGGATGGGAGTCGAGGGTCCGCCGGCTCGAACTTCAGGGTTAGATCGATACACGGTTTCTCCTCTCCCGGGACTACGGGTTCCACTCCTCGGGGATTCCAGTAGTCGATCTAACTCGTTTATCGTGTGTCGAGGTGGAGCCTCCCACTCTCTCGACCCTTGCCCTTTCGACGAAGAGGGTTTGGCCCCTCCGGACACACTTGACATAGCCATTTGCTGCATGGCCTGGCCGATGGTGTTGACGATAAAGGCTTGAAGAGCCGGGTCCACCGTCGTCGTCCCTTCACTCGTAGGCGTCGCTCTGTCCCTTGCAGGGATCGTTCCCGGACTCGTGGGCGTCGTTCCTCGGTTCGTCGGCGTCGCGTTTGGACTAGCAGGTGTCGTCCCACGGCGTACCGTCGTGGTAGGAGCTGGCAAAGTCGCACTTGGCGCCCAGTGACGTTCCACTCTGCACAACGGTTCAGCTTGCAAGTCAGTCGTACTTCGAAAGCGCGACCAAGATGCAGGAACGTCGCTCTCATACAGTCCTCCAACATCCTCCTCCCGCGGGTACTCAGCGGTCGTCGCCGAGGGCGCCTCCCGCCCAGTCTCGTCCATGTGCGCTAACGACGGTCGGGACGGATCCAGCGAGAACGACACTCCCCTTCGCGTTCCAGAACTTGTCGTCTCGGTCTCTCTTGCCTCTCGTAACCGCGCCTGCTCCTCTCTGGGAGTCGGTCGATCCGCTAGAGTCCCGAGGAACGCTTGGAAGCTGGCTCTGCCCTGGGGTGTCCCCAACATCGTCATGAACACTCTTCGGTTCTCTTCGGCTCGTGGTGACGCTCCAAACAAGCTTTCGTCGTCCTCCGGGGCCGCTCGTTCCCTCAGCCCTTCTGCCGCTCGTTCCGTTCGGACCTCAGCCGTCTCTCCGGATTCACCATGCGTTCTGGGATCCACTTCGCCGCCTTCGCCTTCCTCAGCTGGGGCATCAGCGATCTGGTCCTCGTCAGCATCCGCCAGGATCCGTGCGAGGCGCTGCTCTTCGTTCCCTATAGGATCGTTCCAGTTTAGGGAGCTCATCTCGTCCCGGCTCCCTTGCACCTTCGCTCGAGTACTTCGACACTAAGGTATTCCAAGCGGCTCTCTCCGCTTCTTCTCTATTACGCTCCTACGAAAATTGGCTAGAAGATACCCTGCTTCTCCACCAAATTGTCGCGGTCTCCTTCTCTTGTCGGGGTCGTGTATCTTGTGAAAGCCGACGTAGGAACTTAGACGTTATTAGATGTGTAAAATATACTTGTTTCTTATTTGTTTTCTTGAGCACTTCTCGTAAAAGAAGGAAATTCACGACTGAGAGCTCCCTCACCAGCTCTCTACCTTGCCAAAGTACCTCCTACCATCACTAGTACCTCCAGTTGTCGTTCGTAAACGGAGTCAGCGTACCACTGTCTGAACTCCTTCGTTCCATTTTAGACGAGGGACGAGGCAGTCGATGACGGGGAACGGGGCTGATCGGGCTTGACACTCTTCTTACGCCGTTCGCTAAATTGCCGTAGGCAGTCGTCCAGAATAGCGAGTCCTTCCTCTAGCCGAAGACCGTGACAAAAACCTTATAGCGTTATCACAAAGCCTGTTCACCGTTGGGTAGATGTCCTTAATCGATTTCATCTCCTTTGGAATGATAGTTGAAGAGAGCTTTCAAGTTTATTTTTATATTTACTGAAGTAACTGATCGTTTTGTATCTAGGATTTTGAGCCTCCCAGTTTGTAAAGACCGATTTAACCATTCAATGCTACTTCATGTCATGTTTTACAATAGTTGTTGCCTTGTTTTGGCATATGAGTTTGCTCGTTGGGCTTTTCCATTGGTAAAGCAGGTGAGAAAGCAATCTCCACTCTGCTTGGACGGTCAACGGCTTTCAGCACTCACTGTATCACCCGGTCGCTATTGAGCTATATCAAATAAAAGAGCGCATTCGTTTAACTTACTTAGTTTTTGCTGGAGCTGTTCCGCGCCTTTGTATTTGTTTTCATCCATTACAGGTACGATGTCAATTAATATTAGTTTGACTGGATGCTACAGGTAATACAACTACCGGTAAAGTGTCAGAAAGTACTGATCAGTAGTTTATGGACTTCCCATTCCCAAACTCAAATATCAGTTCTTATTACTGACTTATGATAATTCCTCCGGCCATCACAAAAGTGGACCATTTCCAATACCGGTAGTGCAGTTGCTGCGCTAAACGCCGTTCATGTTTTATACATGTAAAAGTAAACGGTCATGTCAACGGCGCCGGTTCACTGAACTGGTCGGTTGCCGATTTCTGAACCGTTCAGAAATCGGCAACCGACCAGCCTTTTACGGGAACGTGGAAGGGCGTGGATACACGTCGCCACTGCAAGTTTCCCTCTAAGCTCCGCTTACCGGTACTAAGTTGAGTCCGCTTTGCAAAAACGGTTGAAGCAATACCGGTACCAGGAAGCCAACAAGTAAGTATATTTTTTTTCTTCCTTCTCTCTAAAAATAAGTTTCTCACTAAGCTTACAGCATGTCTTACGGAGCACTTGTAGAATCCTTCACAAAATGACACGACCTCATTGGTTCAAATTGCCAATCTCTTGCAGGTCACTAACTGTTGCCGGTACCGGTATTCCCATGCCAGTACTTTAGATATTATGTAGTGTCGCGAGGTGCGTAATGAGGGCGGCAGTTCATTGAACTCTTGAAATCGCCATGGAATCGACGCCGAGCACTGCTCGGTACATGTAGTTTGGCGATCGGCACATTTTGCCATGTTGTCCTCAAGCCTGGTGACTATGGAAAGGTATGCCGCTAGCTGCTACCGGTAACTTGCAGGTCAGAAATTGTACTCAGGGACTCGAAGTTCGAGTCGAACCGGATGTCTCAAGAGCAGCTGTCCAAGCTCAGGTACCGGTAGTTGCTTCAAATTGGAGTCCAAGTTGGAATCCAACAGCAGCTGTTACATGTACATGTACAGCTGATGCACTGCATCATGCAGGCAGCACTCAGCAGTGTACAGTTCACTGTACACTTTTGTAATAAACAGTACCGGTACTTGTACTTCGAAGTATTAGACATGTACTGTACAGTACCGGTAAACGGGCAGTTGTGGCCGTGTCGGCGAAAAGTGAGGCTCATTTCCGAATATTCTACCTGCCGAACAAGCAGCTAGCTTTAACTTCTGACCTGTTTAGTATCCTCCACCTCCAGCGCCATGAAATTCGCTGCCATAGCCTCTGCTGCTGCACTGGTCGCCGTCGCCAATGCTGCCTCGTGCGACGTGACTTCGCTCCAGACGCTCCTGACGTCGTCGGACACGACCACGTGCGCTACTGACTCTGGGTACACTGTGACTTCGCTGGCCACTCCGACGGACGCTGAGATGGATGTTATGTGCACCAGCACTGCGTGCCAATCGGTGCTGTCGCAGCTCGAGACGCTCGCTCCTTCCGAGTGCACCTTAGGCACGTTCGCTCTGTATGCTGACCTGATCACCCCGCTGTCCAACCACTGCGCTGGCGCTACCTCTACCGGTTCCTCCACCGGCTCGTCGTCTACCACCGCCACTGTCGGCTCCACGGATGGTTCGAGCACCTCCGCTACTGTGACGACCAGCTCCACGGGATCGGCTGGCTCTACCACGACTACCACCCCGACGACCTCGAGCGGCTCCAGCACTTCGCAAACCACGACGTCCTCTTCGTCTGCTGCTTCGGCAGCCGCCTCGGCTTCGACCTCGGGCAGCAGCGGTGCCAGCATGGCTGCTGTCTCGGCCGGCTCCGTTCTGGTCGCCGTGGCCGCTGCGATGTTCTAAGCATAGCCGTTTGCGAAATCCATTTGGGCCCTGTTGTTAAGAATTTATAATGTTCTCTTAGCAGATTTATTGCTACCAGATTGGATTGTTGATACTTAACACTTTTTCACTGCGCGACACAAGTATACAATATGTAATCTATTCCTAATGGTGATTGGCTACTCCTGATAAAGCTGCATCTTCTACTGTATTAATAACTCTACGTAGTCCTTGAGATTTTGGCAAAACAATGAGTGTCCACGCGAGAGTACCAATAGCAGTGTGTAATGGGTCTCCTATAGAGATAACTACATTTTGCTCTGCGACAAATCTTATGGACACTACAAATATATGAAAGTTTGTATGCGAGGAATGTATCCATAAAGTGGTGAATATGGGGCTTGAATGGAAGTGACGCCAAGACCTTCTCGCAGGGTGTCGTGAGAGCTAGGTAGGAGCCCTTGCTGACAGTAAAGATGCGCTACTAAGCTGTAATTGTAGTGAATATAATCGCCTACTGTTGCTGAGATAATCCCATGAAGAGATACGTTGTATCCGATTGGGTGATATTATTATCTTATTGCAATGGGTTGTTACTAGTGTACTATGGAATGTACTACCTCCGTTCGGAAAAAGATAACCATTTGTTTTTTTTTGCGCAGCGCTCCGCCTCGTTCATTTGAGCGTTTACTAAATTTGTGAGAGGCTGGCTAGCTAGCTTTATGACCGAGAGCTGACAGTGAGAAACTAAGCAAGGCACAGGCGTTCATGCTCCGCCGTGCAACTACAGATACAAAAACGGATCTAAGACGGCAACTACATCGCCACATTCTGAAGGGGCGCTCAGTGGGCCTTCTGGAACTTCAGCGGTAGGCGGTGGGGGGCTGCTCGCTGCAAGAAGCAGCATGTACGCGTTAGCATTGGCGAGCGAGGTAGCGTCACAAGGCAGTGACGTAGGGAGAGTGCCAGCATGTACTTGCTTGTCCTTGTGCCGGAGGCGCGCCAACTCGTGCGTGGGTGTAAGTAGTGGGCGGGTCTGTCTGAGCGCACGCCGTATGTAGCCTTCCTTGATCAGCTGCTAAACCGGGTAGCAGCTCATGTTGGACGCGCGCTGAAGCAGACGCTGGCTTTCGCGCTCATTGACAGGAACTGCAGCGATTCTCTCGCACAGCTCAGCTCGAACCACCTTCTTCCTACCACATGCGCTCTTCCTTGACTTGACCACGGCTGCTACTCGATCTCCCATCGAATTGATTCCACGCCTCCAAATTCGCCCGACAACTTGGCGGCCCATACGGAAGTACGCTGCAACCCGAACGATCTCTCCATGTTTGAGCACTCCTCCCACGCTGCGAAGCAGTAAGGTCTCCCAGACGGCCTGGCGCTCACTGTCTGTGATCTCCCCCAGAGCTGGGAGTCTGGTCGGGAAAGCGCGGGAGATTCGAAATCCAAAAAGTGATCGGCATAGAGGGGGTATTGTTTTGGGTAAGCTGTAATATAATTCGAAATGGTTATCTTTTTCAGAGCGGAGGTAGTATAGTTTTGTAATTAATAAACAGGCAGATGTAGGATGGCTGTGGAAGCTTCTAGAAGCTTCCATCCGTCTGAGCTGCGGGGGCGCCACTTTTCTTTTGGCGCGCTCTCCCCCAAGCTCCCCTGACTTCGATAAATACGTTGGCCAAACCTACATTGTACCTTGGTTACTAAACTTTACATACAAACTAGTATTCTCAAACCGCCAAGGCCAATTTTCACCCTCCAGCGTTCAACTGGGTGGTAAAGCTGCACAGCTCTTTAAAAACATTTGTACGAGTCAGTAAATACACTCTTATGGTTCTAAGCACGCGTAGCTGCGGTTTACTGTGGGCAGGAAGCTTCATCACATGCTATTTTCAATAGCCCTGTCAGCATGGCTACATTCCACACATACAAACTTTCATGTATGTTTGGTGTCCATAAGGTTTGTCGCGGAGCAAAATGGGGAAAAACTATGGAGCTCGAGCTTAGGGACAGGGGCTAATGGTAGCCAAATATCATATGATATTTTCGATATTAAAAATAATATTATCGAAATTAAATATCAATAGTAGCTCATTTTTTTTAAAAAGTTAACATTATATGTTAATATTAGCTTGGACATGTGAATAATATAACTAGATGATATTTTATATTATTTCGCACTTAAGTACGTTTCTTGGCACCTTACCTTCTGTGAACCGAGGGCTCACCAAAGAACTCTTTCGGTCAGGTTTTAGAACAGCAGTAGGCTTTAAGACTGACGAGTATTTGCTCTAGTATTTCACTGTGACACAGACAAACGCGATAGAGGTGGAAAACTGAAAACGCTTGCAGTTGTGTAATGTCGAAAGAGCGAAATCAAGGTATTTCTTCTTGTTCTCGCTCTCTAGCGATAGCCTCGTCCACATTGTGCGTCTAATAAACCTGCAGCCTGTAACGCTAGTTTAATGCGCTCAGCAGTGCCAACACACGACGCCAACCTTGCCGTCACTATCACAACTCACGGTTGATTAGTAATACTTCAGCTAGTCGACATCTGGTTGGTGGAGTTATACAGATTGCGCAATCTTTGAGAAAATAAATTCGAATTTAGTTGATATTTACTATATTATTTTGTCTCAGAAGAAAGTTTTATTTGATATTTTTTATATTAACTGGTCTACAGATAAAATTTTCACAATATTAACTTGGAGTTACCATGAATAGGGAGCTCGAGATACCCAAATTTAAAATAGGGCTATTTGATGTATTAAAAAAATGATCCAAAGGTAAAGGCCTGTAGACCCTCATAGAATTGCAATGTCGTGAACTGGTCCAAGAGAATACGGTATACCTCGCTCAAAGAATTACAGCGGAGATGTATTGTAATATATCACGAGGCCATATTACGCCTCAGCTTTGCTAGTCGGTGGCTTAAAGTAGAGATCACCCTAAATGAGGCGACAGCTGCTGTGGTGTAGCGGGATCAGCAAAATCTGCGAGATTGCCGGATCCAGCTTACCAACTGCACCCAGACACCGACTAACGGAGGGGGTCCCCCGATGATCCGTGTTCTGCTGAACTTTCCTCACCTTGTGTACCCGTCGGTAGGGCGGGATCTTGCTCTCTCGGTAACTTCCGAAGAGTTCAAGTGGTGAAGCTTGAGCGTCTTGGCGAGACGTGGGGATGGGGTGGAGCAGCAGTGGAAAATCTTCACTCTGCGTCCGCGGATGGTTCCGTATCCTAAGCGAATATTCGAGCTTATGGATCCGGGGCCTAGATCGTGGATCTGGCCGTAGGGTTGCCTTGCGGGTGTGTTCCCTTGCCTTTGTAGTTCCTTTGCGTCGTACTTGCCGCCTCCTGTGACGGGATCTTGAAAGTTGAGAGCCCCTAGGGTGTAACCGACCAAGTAGTAAATTCGGTTAACCTGTCGGATCTGCACAAGTAAAGGAAAAAGCTCACTAGGTTGTAGTGTGGTGAAGTGCTTTCTCAGAAATAAGAGAATGGTCCAGACGCGGGGTCACTATCCCGAATCAGTGACAATTTCAAGTGATTATAGAGGATTTGGGTTGTTTGGCACGGGTGCAAGTTGCCTGTGGTGGATTAGCCATGGCGAGCAGCACCCCGTATGGAATGACGATGGATCTGATATGAGCGATGTACGAGAAGGCAAGATCCACCAAGACTTACCTCGGATCCACCCTTACCTGGATTCACTAAGATGGATATGGGATATACTATACAAGAGTGGATCGAGTGCGGATCCTATGAAGGAAGGATGGTCGGTGCTCTCTGACGGTGGATCTAGTAGCCACGGCTAATGAAGAGTCAAGATCCACCGCGAGGTACCCCGGATCCCATACCTCCGAGTTCGTATCCAAGGAGGGAGGATCCCGCCTGGAGGGACCTGGATCCAGGGTATAGGGATGAGGGATACAGTGGATCTCGAACTTTCGTGGGACAACGGAGATCACAGATGGTTGCGAGATGATGTTGGATGATTGGAGAGCTCGGATCCACGGCGAGTGTACCATTACAGTGAGGTGGATCCAAGCGACCTGGATCCGGATGAGTGTACCCATAATAGGGTGACCATGATGATTACGTCATATATCCGGTGGATCTGAAGATAACACAGCTGGGATGATGGGTCAAGGGAAGAAGGGACATGCAGCCGAGCCTGGTAAAGGATTTAGCAGATGAAAGACATAGAAGGTAGAAACCCAGGCAGGTATAGGCTTAAATATCAATACAGACTCCAATTTGCACTGTGGAGGGCAAGTGACCTGTAGTCGTCTCGGGGGTTGGATTTGGCCTCGGGCGATCGCCGTAACAGGAGTGAACATTGGCCCTGGACAAGGACAGCGTCTACTTCGCCCGCCAAGCATCAGGTCTCACTATGGAGTAATCAAGATCACGAACTAGAGAACAAGTGGGCACGGAATCCTAACGGGATCATCAAGTGGAGATCAACTACGTATAGCGTTTCGACGGGGATTGGATTTGGCCTCGCAGAACATTCGTAGCGGAGATGAGCATTGGCCCGGACAAGTTTCGTGTATACTTCGACCCTAGGGACTAACTCAATAAATAAAAGACTCCAATTTGCACAGTGGAGGGCAAGTGACCTGTAGTCGTCTCGGGGGTTGGATTTGGCCTCGGGCGATCGCCGTAACAGGAGTGAACATTGGCCCTGGACAAGGACAGCGTCTACTTCGCCCGCCAAGCATCAGGTCTCACTATGGAGTAATCAAGATCACGAACTAGAGAACAAGTGGGCACGGAATCGTAACGGGATCATCAAGTGGAGATCAACTACGTATAGCGTTTCGACGGGGATTGGATTTGGCCTCGCAGAACATTCGTAGCGGAGATGAGCATTGGCCCGGACAAGTTTCGTGTATACTTCGACCCTAGGGACTAACTCAATAAATAAAGACTCCAATTTGCACAGTGGAGGGCAAGTGACCTGTAGTCGTCTCGGGGGTTGGATTTGGCCTCGGGCGATCGCCGTAACAGGAGTG